GAAATAAAGGGATATGGAGATCTACTACAAGGTAAGGTTTTTGTCTATAAGGTTGCTTATGTCTCTGGGCTTAAACATAATCTCTTGAGCATAAGTCAACTATGTGATTCTGGCTACAATGTCAAGTTCCAAAAGGAAGCTTGCTCCATTATGTCAGAATCAGGTCAGGAGTTGCTAAGAGCCAAGAGAAAGGGCAATCTCTATCTCATGAACTTCTCACCAAGAGATAATTCAGAGACTCTCTGTCTCGTGTCTCGCAAGTGTGAAGAAGCTTGGCTCTGGAACCACAAGCTGTCTCATCTCAATTTCCAAAATATAGAGAAGCTTGTGAAGAATAATCTGGTTGACAGACTTCCTGTCATAAAGTTCAAAAAGGACCATCTCTGCTTTGCATGTGAAATGGGAAAGCTCAAAAGAGCATCCCACAAAACTAAGACAGATGTGTCTTGTGTCAGACCTCTGCATATGCTTCATATGAAACTTTGTGGCCCAATCTTTATGCACAGCTTGTCTGGTAAGAAGTATATCTTAGTCTTAATTGATACTCACGATATACTTGGATTGAGTTTGTAACGCATAAATCAGATGTCCCAAAGCTACTAATCAAGCTGATGACCAAGATTCAAGTACTTCTATAGAGAAAAATTCAAAAACTGAGAAATGATAATGGAACAGAGTTTAAGAACGCCATGATTGACGCATACATGGATACAGAGGGCATAACTCAGAACTTCTCTGCAAAAAGGACATCACAACAAAATGGTTTGGTAGAAAGAAAGAATCGAACTCTGGTCGAAGCAGCAAGAACCATGCTAGCCAACTTTAGTCTTCCAACCCGTTTTTGGGCTGAAGCCATCGCAACTGCTTGCTTTACTGAAAATAGAGCAATGGTGGTAAAGAGACATATGAAGACGCCTTATGAACTAATCAACCAAAGAAAGCCTAATATTAAATTTTTACATGTCTTTGGTTGCAGATACTTCATCCTCAATGATCGAGATCAACTTGGCAAGTTTGATAAGAAGGCCGATGAAGGCAAGTTCCTTGGCTATTCCACAAAAGCCAAGGCATACAGAGTCTTCAATCAACGAACTAAGACGGTCATGGAAAGCATCAACATCTTGTTCGACGATAAAGAACAAGTGACTTCAGAGTATCTCAGCTCTGGACTCGAGCATAACAAACAGGCTTCCAATTCTTAAATAAAGTCAAGGGAATTGGAACTCAAGCTCTTATATGAAGACTTCTATGGCGACAAGACATCTCTGTATGTGCACCAAGAAATGAATCTGCAAGTTTAATTGAAGAACCACAAACGACAAGTACATCTGACTCTGGCCCTTCACACACCTCTCCTTCCTCTAGAGATCATGCCAATCCACAACCAGAGCAACCAAGCTCTGCATCACAGCCCAGTCTCGCATAGCCAGAGCATGATACCTCTGGTTCTGCACCTGGTTCCTTTGTACCATCATCCGAGGGGGAGAAAGCATAATCCTCTTCGCCATCAACGAACTCAATGGCAATATGCCTATGGAGCAAAATGAAATGTCCCATACCTCTGTATCTGTCCCAAGAACAAGATGGACAAAGGATCATCCTCTTTACCAGATTATTGGTGAACCTTCAAGAGCTGCCATGCTAATGGATGTTTATTCGTAAACTTTCTAAGCATGGTAGAGCCTAAGAAAGTCCATGAAGCCCTACAAGACCCTAGTTGGGTCGACGCCATGCCAGAAGAGCTCCAACAATTCAAAAGGAATAAGGTATAGACTCTTGTACCTTTGCCAAAGGATAAAATTGCAATTGGCTGTAAATAGGTTTTCAGGAACAAGAAGGATGAGGATGGGTCCGTTGTGAGAAATAAAGCTAGGCTTGTAGCAGAAGTCTATTAACAGGAAGAAGGCATAGACTATGACGAGGCCTTTGCGCCAATAGCAAGGCTATAAGCTATACGCTTGTTCTTAGCCTTCTCTACACATAAGGGATTCAGAGTATAAAATGGACGTTAAGTCAGCCTTCTTAAATGGTAAGCTGAACGAGGAAGTCTACGTTCAACAACTTCCAGGGTTTGAAAGCTCCACAGACCTATAGTATGTCTACTTCTTGGACAAAGCTCTGTATGGACTTAAGGAAGCACCTCGAGCTTGGCATGAACGTCTATCGTCTTTTCTCTTGTCTAATGGTTTTGAAAAAGGTAAAATCGATACAACTTTGTTTATTAAGAGGTATAAAGGTGAGATGCTATTAGTACAGATCTCTGTGGACGACATTATCTTTGGTTCAATGAACCAGAGGCATTGTGATAAGTTCTCTGCGTTGATGAAGAGTGAGTTTGAAATGAGCATGATGGAAGAATAAACATTCTTCCTCGGCTTGCAAGTAAAACGGAGGGAGGACGGTATCCTTATTAGCCAAGCTAAGTATGTCTCCGACATATTAAAGAAATACCAACTCCACAACTCTTCCACTATGAGAACACCAATCGCTACGGGAACTAAGCTTGACACAGATCCATCTAGAAAACTGGTGGATGTTAAGACTTACCATGGAATGATTAGATCACTACTATACCTCACGGCTAGTAGACCAGACATCATGTTTGCCACATGTCTTTGTGCATGTTTTCAAACAAACCCAAAAGAATCTCACCTTTCTGCTGTAAAAAGAATCTTTAGATACCTCAAGGGAACTCAATTTATGGGTCTCTGGTATCCAAAGCATTATGGTTTTGATCTTATTGCCTACACTGATTATGATCATGCAGGTTGTAAATTTAATCGAAAGCGAACATCAGGGAGCTGCCAATTACTTCGAGACAAGCTCATAAGTTGGACCTTAAAGAAGCAAAACTGCGTATATACTTCCACAGCTGAAGCAGAGTATGTAGTTGTAGCCAGTTGCTGTTCCCGAGTGATATGGATGAAGACTCAACTAAAAGACTATGGCGTAGAGTTTGATAAAACCCCAATTCTGTGTGATTCAGAAAGTGTTATCGCAATCACAACCAATCCTAAAAAACAAAGCACATCGATGTTCGCTATCATTTCATCAAGGACCATATAGAGATAGGTACGATTGAAATGTTCTTTGTTAGTACAGATCTACAACTTGCTGACATCTTTACAAAAGCTCTTGAAGAAAATATATTTAACTTTTTAGTTAGCAAGTTGGGTATGCTCAATCTTTCCAACTATGCCAAAGCCTTTGTATGTACTATACAGAGCCTCTGCATCCCTTTCGCATACTTCTGTTTTGTTGATTATTGTATTAATCCATGAGACAGAGCCTCTGCATACAACATGCAGAGCCTCTTGCTCAAGTCCTAGTTGTCTTGTGATATAGAGCCTCTGTACCTTGTTTCTTATGCTTGTGCAATACTTATCATAAATGATCCAAGCATAGTTCAAGGGAGAGCAGATAAGAAGAGCTCATGTCAAGGGGGAGCACAAGATAATGTCACAGAATGCCTCTGTCTCAAAACTTTTATGTTTACAAGACAGAGCCTCTGTATGTACTATGCAGAGCCTCTGCCTCTAAACATAGCAAGTTTTCTACACATAGGACATGTATAGTCCAACCACGAGTCTCTGTATGAGATCCTAATGTATGTTTTCTCTTTATGTAGTGTTATAACCAGGTCTTTCCACAAACATTCATGTCTAACCCTCACTAGACATTCATGTCTAACCATCATTTTGGTGTTTTCAAAATATGTGTGCAGGTAATGATAATAATGCAAGAGCATTTTGTGAATTACTTCTCTATGTGTTTTGCAATATGAAGATCTTTATTAGACATGTTTGAAGATTAGTTGTTAAGTTACGAGAAGCATGTACTTTTGGAATTTTTAAGTTGTGTAATTCATATTAACGACTCTTGTATTAAAGACCTATGTGGGGGAAAACATGTATTTTATATATGAAATATATGTTATATGCAATGTATGGATATGGGGGTGTTACATGTAGTGCTCTAGTTCTTTTCAAAATCTCTATTTTATACAAATCAGAGTATTTACACTTGGGAATTTTTTTTAAAAATCTAAAATATATTATATTATTAAAGAAGGCATACGGTTCTTATTTTTATTATTTTTAATAGTTGTCATTTAAACTAAGCGTCACCGCTTGTGAGCGTAATCAAACGTGGGAAGCGCCACTTGCAGCTGGCATTCCACATGGCGCTCCCCCACAAGCTGTTCAAAAACCGCTTCAGTTTTTAATCTGACATTTAGGGCGCAATTACTTGAGTACGTTATTTTTTTCTATTTAAACAAATTATTTACCCCCAAATTACTTTTTACGCTTACAAAGGAATTCAAGAACACTCGTCGTCTCCAACCTCCAAACCGCCATTGTTCCTTCTTCAAGCTGTCATACCAATTACTGAAACAACATTCTGTGAACGAATCATCATCCTGTTTGTCAAGTATGTTCTATAAACCCTTTTCTCAACCGATTTTAAGTATCAAGAACTGATTCTTGAAACCCTAGTTTTCTTCAAACCTTTCTTTTTCACCCAAAGACCAGCAACTATGTTGTCTTCCGAGTCTGGAAATTCCCACACACACCACAACCCACAAAACCGTTTGAGGAAACCAGTCAAAACTTGGTTCCTCTTCCAATCAAACCCAATAACCATGCCCTCCACCTCTTTCTTGAAAATTTTGACCAAAAATACCATCCAATCATCAACATCCTCCAAAACCACTTTCTAAACCTTGATTTGACAAACACGGATGACCTTGTACCTGAAAGGTATATCCAAGAATTATGGTAATCTTGCGCCATTACTGACTCTCAAAGAGGAATCGTTGGAGATTTTTATGTCTCATCCTCAAAGGAATTTGTCATTGTTCGAATATCCAGGTCAATGTTTTCACACGTTCTTGAAATCCCAACGAAAGCAGACCCCACGATCGTGGCCTTTCTGAAATTCTTGGGGTACAACAAGGCAATCCAGTACCCTTCTTAGTACGTCGCCAATACCTCCCTCCAATGTGGAATACTCTATTCGCTTTGGTCAACAGATTTCTTACTGGGAAGATTGGGAGCTTAGATATGTGCTCCACGAACCATCTGCAAATCCTATACATCATCTTCTTCAATGGATCTCTAGATTACTCCTTGGTACTCTACACAGAGTTCAAGGCTGCCGTGACCAAGAAATGTCAAGAGGTGGCCAAAGGGAGGCAATTGCCATCTCTGTTGTTTCCGCGCTTCTTGGGTCTTCACCTAAGGTCTGCTCTCGACGATATCGATGTGGGTCGTCTGCCCGCGCACAAAGTAAACGTGCTCACCCACTACAGGCCAATAGTCAACAAAGAGGGATACGCAGCAAAAAGGACCATTCTAAAAAAGCTTTATGCGCATATGAAGAGAAGGATTAGGAGCGCATACAGACATACATGCGAGACACTAGAACCAGTGTCTCGAACACCGGTATGCATAGGATCAGCCGTAGAGAAAGAGCAAACAGAGGACACGTTAAGGCCTCACGTAGAGGAAGAGGCGGTGAGAGTAGAGCAAGAGAGGGAGAAACAAAGAAAACGAGAGGAGGCAAAGAAAAAGAAAATAGAGAGGGAGAGGGAGAAGAATGAACAAGCAGAGCAAGAAAAGCAAGAGAGATTGGTTGAACTTGCTCATGTACGAGCAGATGAAGAGCGAGCAGAAAAAGCTCGACAGGCGGAGATTGCTTGTCTAAGAGAAGAGGCCAGAATCAGAGTAGAGGAAGAAGCTCGTCGAAACTTGGCCCAATCCTCTAGTCCTAACCAAGGGGATGACCAAGAGCACTTCGACGATGCTGCTAGGTCTTATACTTCAAGTGAAGAGAGTGAGGAAGAAGAAGAGAGTGAGGAAGAAGAAGAGGAGAGTAAGGACGAAGAAGAAAGTGAGATTGAGGAGGAAAAAGAGGAAGAACAAGAGGGAGGAGGTGTAGAAGCTGCTCTGCCTTAGGGCGAGCCAGAGCAGCCTAAGATAAATAGGCACACTCGTTTTACCACCCCAACTCCCAGTGCAAACGAATCATTTGACTCCGGTGGTGAAGACACGGAGGTCATTGAAACAGAGGTACACACCTTGAACCTCAAACAGCCAAACCAACCAGAGGTCGCATCTGCCTCTGGTTATGATAGCCAAAGGGAAGCCAAACCACAGGGAACACCCTCTCAAAAGGGTGCAACCTTTGAACGTATAAGTGATATGTCTCCCCATATCATGCCACTTTCCCATACAGAGAAATTCGTTTCCTCTGCACGTGTAGACTCCCAACCTTGTTCAGAGCAAGGAATAGGTGCACACGACTTGGAGACTCTAAACCAGTCTCCTAGTCCACTCATGGAGAGTCCTCTGGCCGGCTCTGAACCCGCCTTGGTTACTCTCCCTGACAAAACAATGGTAGTGAATTCTCCTCAAGAAGAATCACAAGGATCCGCTGGAAGTCCTTCCCCGACTAACATCAACCAAGTCATGAATGAAGGCGTCCCTGGAATAGGGACTCAATCTGGCCCATGTGTTGACCCAGAGGTTACACAAACAGCATACGTCACAAGGGAAGAGTTCCATTCCCTTATCACCTCTGTGCGGTGCTCCTTAGACGAACTAAAACTCATCGTGGCCCGTGCAAAGCCGTCTTCTTCTACACCTGCTCTGGATCATATACGAGCACCCTTGGCAGTATTGAGAGCTGAGTCTTCGACGAATGCTTCTCGTCTCGATACTTTGGAATTGACGGCACGAAATGTAGAGGCCTTGCAAAAAATTATAACATCTTTGCAGAGGGGTGAAGCGTCAACTTCCCACGACACACAGGAGATCATCCCTCTGAACGTACCTGTGGATTATGTCACTCAGAGCGCAATGAATGCTCTGGATGACAGACTTCTGCAGAAGATGGTGAGCTTCACATCCGATTTCAACAACAAAGCCACATAAGTAGCAGACGTCATCAAACTCTCTATGGCCAAGTTCAACTATCGATCGGACATCAAGATTCGATGAGTTGGCGATGTAGACGAATATCTCCTCAAAGTCTTTTAGGAGAAAATACGGTATATGCCTCAAGCAGAGGAGTCGAGGCCAAAAAGAAGTATGGACTCTTATCCATGTGCTCAGCCATCAAAGAGGAGACCACTTGACGATCATGAGGACCCAGAGTAGTCTGGTCCTTAAAATCGTCAAGAGGGGGAGAACTATCGAACTGCCATTCCAAGTGTTACATCTACGGCTGCCTCCTCTGCACCAACGTCCTCTACCCCATGCCAACAAGGAATAGATTCCTAGATCGCTACACTCAGCCCATCTCTACAGTCTATTTCGTCGATGGAATCAAGCAAGTCATCGACATCAAGAAGCGTACCTTCACGTATAACCAGATTATCTTCCACGAGTATATGGTGGAGAGGTCTCGCAGATAGATCTGTAAGTTCACAGACTGTGATCTAATCAATATGAATCCGTGGGATCTTCTTTCTCTATTTTACTTCACGGATCACAAGAAGGACAAGGGGTTCAAATACGTTGTTGCCAACTCTGCTATACACCAAATGATGACAGACCTGCTCGACTTCAGATGCCAGTTTCATTTCCATCTAGGTTTAGATCTAGGAGTGGATCAATTGACTGTCGCTGCACCAAATGAAGATCTACAAGGCATCAATAGCATTCCCTCTTCGAATGTATTGGTGGAACCGGAAGTGGGAGTGGTGTTTCGAAACACGCAACAAAAGAAAATATTTTTTCAAGACAACCAGAACTACAAGACTCTACTCTGTGCTACATCAGAGACAATCTAGTCAGAAGCAGAGACAACTCCCCAGGAGCAAAGGAGCAAGCAAGAATTATCCTAAGGTCGATACGCAACATGCTAGAGTTTCGTGAACTTCTTAGGAAGTTCATTAGACCTCAAAATGTTTAGACCTCTTATCTTTTGTAAGTACTTTTCTATCTTTGGTTTGATGTAATTTCCATTCCAGTCGTATTGTACATCTTTAGATAGTAAATGTAATTCAGAGGTTCCTTTTAACCTCTTGTTTCAATTAGACTCTCTGTTTTGTAATTCAAGTAAGAGCCTGCCTTATTTACACTTAGGGGGGATTGTTAGACCCCAACTTTTGAAAGTGTAAGTAAGAAGTCTTTTACTCTAGTCAATATGACTTAGTCTAATGAAGCGGTCTGGACTAAGAGCTCTCATGCATAAGATTAAGAACCAGAGCTCTTACTCAAGAGTGAAGGTTCCATTCATACAGAGCATGCGCTCTACGCCCATGGACGATCAAGCCTTGTGCGGCAAAAAGCATAAGCGCTTGACACCAAGTTACAACTCCAAGACCTAGAGCCTCTACATAGTACATGCAGAGCTTCTATGTTAGACCCCATAAGTCTTATGCATGGAAGTAATGAAGACAAAAAAGTGATGAAGAACCAGAAGGCTGATGGAAGACTTCAAGGAAAAATGGCTTAGTCTGAAGAACAACCAGAGGGTCGATAAACTGACCAGAGATGCAAAGGAAAGTGCATCTTCATAACCCCTCTGGGTACTAACACTTGGAGTATTCCTCACTAGTTCAACCAGAGGCAAGCGATGAAGATATGAAGATAAGGTTGAATTAATGACCCATGGAAGACAATTGGAGACGACTAATCAACAGATGGATTCTACAAAGTTTATCTTGTATTAATGATTATCCATGTTTAGATAAGCTTTATTTTTTCTTAGAAGATTAGCTAAATAGTCTCACTAGATATTTATCTTTTTAGCTAGATTACTAGTGTAAATAGGTGGTTAGGCCTATTGTAATCTAAGACTCTTTTATGTTTTTCTTCAGTCATTGCAATAAAGTGAAACCTTTGAAACTCAAGTACATTCTTTGAATGTTCATCATTTGTTCTTGAGTGTTCATCATCTTATTCATTCAAACACTATAATTTGGTTATTCTTAATTATATTATTAGTGTTATTGAGAGATCTGGGATCAACAATTGGTATCAGAGTCAATTGATTATTTTTTCAATCAAAACGATCATTAAAAATCTCTCAATTCGTGTTTTCTCTAAAAACGTAAAGTTTTCTCTTCCAAATCTTAAATGGCCAACTGGAATTCCGCTTACAGTTTTGGTTCCCTCACCAAACCTCCAACTCTTCAATGAGAAGATTATCCACAATGGAGGATACAGATGGTAAACTTTCTGAAAGGGATGGACAAAAATCTTCTGCGATCTGTCATGGAGAGTCCCTACGTTCCAGAATCTCTTGTTCCAAGAGTCCCAGGAACAAATACCACAGTAGAAATTCCTGCCTATTACATGCCCAAGGATGAGAAGAATTGGGATGAAGACGATATAGAGCGCGTGGAGACTGACAAGAAGGCCAAAAGACTAATCATCATGGCCATTCCCAATGAAATGTTACAATCCCTTGATGCATGTTCCACAGTAAAGGAACTATGGGATGAGTTGGCAAGCCAATTGGAAGGAGAAGCAAAAACGAAGAAGAATCGTAGAGCCCAATGTCTCAACGGTTACACCAACTTTAACGCTATTCCTGATGAACCGATTCAGAAGACATATGATCGTTTCAATACATTGATTAATCAATGTCATCGAAACGATATCTCCAGGACAAAGGAAGAAAAGAATGTTTGGTTCCGGAAAAGTCTCGGCGATGAATGGACACAACTGTCGATGTCCCTTCAAGCAAATCAGCACTTAGATCGCTGGTCACTTCATGACGTATATGGAATGCTTGTTGCACAAGAGAACGATATCATGAAGAAGAAAGTGTCCATCGATGGACCCCTTGCTGTTGCTGAAGAAAAGGATGTTTCAAGGACCTCCACCAGGGACCACAAGAAGAAAGGAAAGAAAGCATTGGTAGCAGAATCAGAATCTGAGGACGAGACATCCGAATCAGATGATGATATCAAAGCCTTTGCTAAATCTCTGGCCTTGATAAAAAAAACAGTTCCAGAAAAAGTTCATCAAAAAGCCCTATAAACGAAGAGAATTCAAGAGAGAAAAGTACCAGCCATCCTATGAAAGGAAGCCATCTAAATTCTATCAGAGGGAAGACAGAAGAGATGGAAGAGAAGGGAGAGAAGATAGAAGAGAAGATAGAAAAGAGGAGAAGAATGAAGACAGAGATGGAAGGAAAAATGACCTTCGCTGCTTTAGGAGCGGGAAAATTGGTCATTTTTCAAAAGAATGCAGAGCACGACTGGTAAAGGATGCTGATTACTAGAAGAATAAATATAAATATAATCCAAGAGAGCGAAGCCTGATGGCTGATAAAGAAAATTGGGTATCTGATTCTTCATCCGATGAAGAAGATAAAGCACTCATCTATCTGATGGCCACGTCCAATGCCGAATCCGCCTCTGACTCTGATGATCAGGTATGTGAGTCTACTTTCGATGAAACCAACTCTGCTCCATCTGAGCTAGAGTTAAGGGTAATAAAACATTCAAAGGACTTCTTGAAATTAAAATAAAAATTAAATTTTGAAAAATCTGAAAGACTTAAAGCAGAAAAAAAAGTCAGTTTCTACAAAAGAGAAACTGATCTTCTAACCGAAGAAAAAGCCGAACTCGTTAAGAAAAAGACTTGCATCGCCACTCTCAAAAAATCAGAGGATGAAAAACTTATGGAATTAAACAAGCGAATAACCAAAGACTTAGAAAAGAAAGCTAAGGCCTTAAAAGAATTCGAGGCAAAGAGACTAACTCAGTAGCTTTCAAAGATTTCTTTCAAAAAGAAAGGGAGGTTCTTCACCAGAAGCTTCAAACCAATGAACTTCTAATGAAGAAATACAAGGATGCCCAAAATGTATATGAAAAGGTAAACGGTCAAACGGACAATCAAGGGACTGGATTCAATGAGTTGGACTCCTTAATCGAAACAAAGAAATCCACCCTTGAATCCACTTTCAAACTTGGATGCATTCAAAAACCCGACTTTTT